AATTTGTACAAGGCGTGACCATGGCTTATAATAACGTGCTCATTCCTTATAAAAAATTCGTTTCTACCTTAAATTACTAAAATTTCTATCTAAACTAGAAAAATAACATGTCAAAGACTAACCTAAAAATAAAAATCAAGAATAAAAATAAAAATAAAATAAAATAAGAAAAATTTGGGTTGCCTCCTAAAAAGCGTCTTTCTTTAACGTCTTCAGCTAGACATTATTTTCGAGACTCAACCAATCATTTTTTAATTTTTTTCAACTCATGCAAAAGACTTTGTTCTTGATATTTGATCAAATTCTCAACAATCAATAGTGGCAATTCTGGCACCTACAAAATAAAATATGAATCGTCAGTACGAGTAACAAGTGATATGGTATCAGTTAGAGAAAAACAATATGACTCATAAAAGCTATCTTGAAACTCTAGTAAACTATCAAAGGTTGAATCATTGAAAATTACAACTTTAAACTTATCCAAATCACTCGAGTCGAGATTTTTTTGGCACTTCAAATTCACCACCATCCATAAAATTACTAGGAGGTAAATCACTTGGAGACCGAAAAAACCACAACTTATTCAGATTCCCCCACGAATTCTTGATCTGTCTTAGAAGATTCTGTCGACTCTGTAGCACAACTCGAGGTATCTACCATGGTTTCTGATGATAAGTCAACTTGAGATACGCTTTTGCTCCTGAGGACACAAGTTGGTCCAGTTATCTGCTAGATTCTTAAGGCTGCTCCTTGTCTCTTGTTGAAACTGTAAAGTGCTAAGTGCAATCGACTTAACAATTTCTTCAAGAGATGTCATCGAACTTGATGGATGTTGTTGTTGGGTAGCAAATGGTGTAGAAGGCGATCACCCCACCACTCAGAGTTGTAGCTATCATAAAATCAAACAAAGCTACCTCGTTGCGGCTCTTGAAAATTTCCAACTTGAGAATGCCCTTGAGTATCATATAGAAATGTTGGGCAATAATAACTCGGGTGTTGGGAGTCGCCACAAATTCTACAATACTCAGATTGGCACGTGCTTTCTCTGTGATAACCACTTTGCTCGAACAGCTGAGAACAAAACTCCACAAAATGTAAGCCTCTTGCACAAAAGAATATTGCACCAAAACAAGTCTAATTAAAAGTCAATCCCCGGCAACGGCGCCAAAAATTGATTGGTGTCGAATCCAACAATAATGAAATCCTGCTTCTAAAATAACTGTAGTAGTGGTGAGCAAGGTCTTATCCACACGGATTGGCTAGACAGAGTATTGATGCAATTATTCATGAAAGAAATAAAAATAAAAATGATGGGGGTTTGATGATTTTATCTAACTTAGAAAATAAAATAAAATGAAATCTAACCAGAGACGAAAAGAAAACGAGTGATTCAAAATAGAGAAAATGTCCAACCAAAGGAAAAGATTATAGAAATGGCTCAACGATTCGATCACGGATGCAAAGATAATTCTCCTACTCTCGATTAAACTGGTAATGGTTATTGGTACGACCTAACAACCTATCCTTCCTTACTTGTTCCATAATCAGGATACGATCTCTAATTATTTCTCAAATCAACAGACAAACCTAGATACGATCATATGATTTAATCTATCAACAACAGTAAGATCTAGAAAGACCACCAATTCTAGCCTACAAATGCACATGTAGGATAATTTAGACTAGATCATATATCTCCCTAAGCATATAATTGAAAACCCTTAGTAGTCAACTATGCTATTTGCCACAAATATTAGAACAATCAAACAATTACGGATTTAACGTTCTAAATAAAGATATGCGTTTCAATAATCGAACAAATGACAAATTTGCATCTATCAATCAAAACACAATTGATAATAATCATAAGAAATATACGAATAAAAGAGAATAGGGAATATAAAATTCAATTAGATCTCACAAATCATGAAGAAGAAAATCTAGAATAATCCTTTGGCTGGAAAAATAAATTAATTCTACATAAACATAGAAGAAGTCTTCCAATTATTCATGAAAAATAAAAGAAAAGAAAAGAAAAGAAGAGAGGATGGCGTGCGTCTTCAAGCAGATCTCCCTGATCAGATAAAAATAAGAACGTCGTACTGAATTGAGAAGAGGAAGAAAGAGGTGAGAGAAAAATAATACCTAGTAGTCTGATTTAATTATCAGTCTAATCCTAATCCTAAAAGAAATACATAGAAAATAGTCTTCTCTCTCCAAAAATATCCTAATAAATTAAAATAGTATATAAATAAATAAAAAAACTCCATATATTATATTATTTCTCTTTCCAACTCAAGACTCCTTCCTTCTTCCAACTATAGCAGGAAATTAGCGTGCCCACGCCTTAAAACAAATTCGTCTCTTCTGCCCTCCAATCATCATAAAATTCCAAATTCCGAGATATCCTACAAAAAATATATAAAACAATTAAAATCAATAATCAAGCTCAAACAAACACCGAAAAAGTATGGAAAACGTGACAATTAACATGCCAAGAATACGAATTATCAAGAAGATGGCTAGAACTCGTCAAGGACTACGACTACACAATTAACTACCATCCGTAGAAAGCTAACGTAATCGCCGACACTTTTAGTCGGAAGAGTCACGTTGAGTTGGCCTACATGTTTACCAAACAGGAGAAGCATGTTAGAAAGTTTGCTCGGTTAGGAAAAAAAATAAAAATTGGTCTTATAATTTGGCCACTGTCCAAAAAACCACCCCGATATTGACCACTTTCAATTTAGGTCCAATGATTTGTTGATTTCATCAGTTTTGGTCCTTTTTTATCCGCACCTTGGATTAAAAAATGACATGGCATGAAAAAAGGACCAAAATTGATGAAATCGACAAATTATAGGACCAAAATTGACATGCCACGTAGATCAAAACCATGCCATGTAACATTAAAAAACTGACACGTCATGCCATGTCACTTTTTAATCCAGGGTGCGTATAAAAAGGACCAAAATTGATGAAATCGACAAATTATAGGACCTAAATTGAAAATAGTCAATATCGGGGTGGTTTTTTGGACAGTGGCCAAGTTATAGGACCAATTTTGAAATTTTGCGCTCGGTTAGAGGTAGAGATAGTAGAGCCATCTTCCAGAGCCAGTGATATGTTAACATTATTGGTTGTGGGGACCGACTATGCGAGAGAAGATTGAAGCCGAGCAGTCGAAGAATAGTTATGTTTCGGATGTGAGAGTCATCTCGAACTGGCAAGATTGGGAGGATTTCGCAGAGGCATCTAATGGGACCTTCGTCTTCGAGTAGAGACTTCGTGTTCCGAACGTATTGGAGCTGCGAAAGGAGATTCTAGAGGTCGCATACAATGCCCCGTACGTCACCCATCCTGATAGTACGAAGATGTTCTAAGACCTTATGAGGTCTTGCTGATAGAGAGGATGGTAGAGGGATGTGGCTAGGTACGTGGATCGTGGGTGGTGTGTCGAGAGGTGAAGTTCGAGCATCAGAAGCATCGGGCTTAAGTCAACCACTCGAGAGCCTACGTGGAGGTAAGAGCGCATCACAATAGATCTTTCTGGCGGGCTTACCGAGATTGAGATTAGGTAACGATGCCATCTGGCTAATGGTGGATCGTTTAGGCGAGTGTGCACATTTTCAGTCTGTGCATGCGGCTGTGTAACAGGAGAAGTATGGCCGGATGTACATCAAGGAGGTTGTCCAATTCCCTGGGGTAGCCGTGTTGTTCGTACCAGACCGAGATGCACGGTTTACCTCACAGTTTGGTGCAGCTCGTAGCGAGCTATGGGAGCAAGATTGAGTTTTAGTACAACCTATTTCCCAGACGGAGGAGCAGTTGGAGCATACAATTGAGACAATAGAAGACCTGTTGAGGTCCTGTGTTCATAATCGAGGTGTGTTGTGGGGAGAATCCTTAGCATTAGTAGGGTTCGCCCACAATGATAGTTATCAGGTTTCAAGTAGCATGGCTCCGTGCGAAGCTTTGTACGGACGGAGGTGTCGAACACATTCACATTTAGAAGAGGTCAGCAATAGGAAAGTACTTGGGCCAGAGATTAGTCAAAAGACCATAGAGCAGGTCGACGAGATCCGAGCGAGGATCGAAGCAGCCCAAGACTAACAGTAGTCCTCTGCCGACAAGAGAAGTAGAGATCTTCAGTTCGAGATTGGCGACAAGGACTTCCTGAACGTCTCACTGATTAGAGGGGAAGTTCACTTCGAGAAGAGAAGTAGTGCAGCCTCGTTTTGTTGGTCTCTACGAGATACTCGACCGAGTTGGCGACCTAGCCATCGGTTGGCTTTACCACTTTAGTTGTTAGGTGTGCATGACGTGTTCCATGTCTCTATGATATACTTGCACGACCCCGAGCACGTGGTAGACTTTGGCGAGCTTTGGGTCGGGTAGAGCCTGAGTACGAGGAGTTACCGGTAGCCGTTGTGGACTAGAGGGTCCACCAGTTGAGGAGCCGGGTAGTGTCGCTCGTCAAGGTTTAGCGGAGACGCCATGGCGAGGCCGAGGCAACTTGGGATAGCGAGTACTAGATTCAGATGTAGTATCCGAATTTTTAGCTTTGAGTTGCCCTTTGTAGCTAGTACTTTGTACTTCGCTTTAGTTTTGTGTCAATAATTTCTGAGAACCAAAATATTTTAAGGAGGGTAGAATGTAGCGCTCCAGTCGAATTATAGAAAACATCTCAATTATATATGTATTTATTTATGCAGTTAGTTGCATAGTATTTAAAGATTTCTAGCTCGACAAGTTCTTCAGATCCATTAGACGTTAGTGTCTAGTTAATCTGTTAAGAGAAATATTTTATTTTGACATTAGTATCTATTTACAATATTCGAATTATCGAATATTCGTTAGCTATTCAATTTTATTCGATTTTATTTCTTTTTGGTAGCCGTCAAAGCCGTTTTAAAACCGTATTCGGCTTCATCAATTTTATTTAGAGATTATTCAAACTTATTTCGATTTTTTCGGAGTTCGTTGCTGTTTGTTTTGTGCTCGGTCCAAGTCCTTTTCTAGCCTCTTTGCATTTTATATGTTCAGCCCAAAATTGAGGTTTTCTCGGCCCAAAGCCAAGTAAGTCTCAGCTTAAATTGTGTAAGGTTTTGGCCCAATATTCTTTCTCCCTCGTATCGGTCAATAGGAGGGTTAAAAACCCCTTTCTTCTTCAATCAGATTTTGCCCAAATTTTAGAAAACCTCTTAAAAGTCGATCAGTTAGTATCATTCATCGCCCAATTAATTCAGCTCGATCGCGCACATCCACCAGAGAGGAGTTTCGCCGCCTAAAGTCGAAAGCCGCTACAGTCCGCACACCCGAAATTCTGTTCACGTTAAGAAGTTCCCAGCCATGGCCGACCTCTATCCGCAGCTGTAGCCGGAGGTCCTCCATAGCAGCCATCGCACGAACAGGCCATCAGCCCTGCTACCCCTCTCATCGCAAGCCTCTGGCCGTGATTTTTCCCAGCGAGCGGCCGCCATCGATTTTCCAGGTCTATCGAATGGCGAGTAGCATGTCCTGAGTTCCATCTGAGACTTCCCATATGTTCTGAGCCCATCGACCCTCGAGCAGCCGCGGCCGGCCGAGGGAGAGACAAGCAGCAACAAATTAGTCGGGGCAGCTTTGTCTGCAAGCAGCACCTCGCCGTGCCGATCCTCGTTCACCAACAGAAGCTTCGATCATACAAGAGGAATCCGACCGGCATCGATACGAGAGTTTCAGGCCACGAGTGCCGAAGCCGAGTTCATTAGTGGATGAAATCCGAACAGTAGCCCTTGCCGGCGTTTTTCCCTTCAGTGCCGCTTGTCGCGTGTAGCCGGTTTCATTGTCGCAGACCGTAAGCAGGAGCGTCCCTATCGTTCGGTAGCGGGCAGCCGAAGAAGCTTCAGCCCGTCCACGAGCACACTCATTGCCGAGTCGAGGTTGTCGAGAGCTCTATTCGCAACTAGCCGAGCCGTCTGTTCGTCGAGCCATGCTCGAACCTCCCTCGACCTTTATTTGTAGATTCCCGAAGGAGGTATAAGGCTATATATTCCCTTTAGTATTTTTAAAGAATTTTGTTGAAGGATTTAAGAATGTATTAGGTTCATTGATTGAGATATACTGAATTTGAGTTAAATTCATATATATAGGGTCGCGCTCCAGTGAGAATGGTACTAAGTTGAAAGAAATAAGAATGAATCGTAGTTATTAAATTAGATGATCTAATGACTAAAAAAAAAATCAAAATTATACCTTCATTGAGGATATTGTAGTAATTTTACACATTCCACATCCAAAGATGTGGGTCCCTCTAATATATCTGCCAACTATTTCACCCATCCACCACATTAAATACACGAGTCAACTATTCCTACCCACCCACCAGGCACCCCACCCCATCTCACCCTACACTCTTTCTCTCACACACACACACTAAATCGAGAAACATGCACACACACACATAGCACTTTCGACCGCCGGCAGCCACTCCGCCCGTCGCCGGTCGCCGGTTGTCCGCCGCCCTATGCCAGCCACCAGTTGCCCGCCGTTCCACCTCAACCACCGCCATCCTCGCAACCAAGCTTAATGGTTGCCGCCTCCGGTCGTGACCAAAGCAACAAAATCGTCGGTCGTGAGTCAAGCCGCCCCCCGCCGCTGCCATCCTCCTCACATGCGCCCGCCACTTCTCCAGCACCTGCACAGTTCCGGAAGCAACGACTATTGCCGGAATTTCAGCCTCGATTCCCCGCGATTCTAGCCGTGAATCTCCAGCCGAGACATTGTCGGAGTTCATCAGACACGTCTTGGATGGGTGAGGAGGTCGCGAGCGTCGAAACGATCTACTCTTCGGAATCGACAGCCGCAGGCGAGGATGGAGAAGGAGATGTTGCCCATGTTTATGGCTGAAACAAGATTTGCCGGTCATCGGTCGATTAGCGGTGGCGTGTGGGAGGACCAGAACCTCGCGGGAACGGTGGATCGCCGGAGGTGAATCGCCGACTTACCGGGAAGAGGAAGGCGAGAACTTGAAATGTACAGGAAATTGGATTTGATTGAACTATGGACATGCTTTGGAAATTTGACAAATTTTACGGATTTAATTGGAATTTTATAAGTTTTATTATATTACAATTTAGTACATGGGTTAAAATTATAATTTATCAAAATTTTTAATAATTGCACATTAATGATAAGTGCAATGGTTTGAAATTGCATAATACTTCAGAATGCACAACAATGTTGTATCAAATGCACATTAATGCATAAGATAATGAACATTATCGCAGCTGTGTGCATTTTTCACATATATTCAGATTTTAGTTTGTTCTGTCTAATTTCAGCTTTAATTTTTTTTTAAAAAAAAAACCTAGCATAATCAACCGAAATATATTTATATTATGATATCATATATATATTATTTATTTCAACAAAAATTAAAATAAAATACTAAATAAAAATACATAAATACTAACTATATTTTTAATATATAAATAAATTAATAAGTGCAATATAATGTTAATTAGAAATATACATTATTAAAATATTCTAAAAAATGAAATCCACGTAAAAAATACCCGCTCAATCGATCACACAATAAAACTAGACTAAATGCACCTTATTGTGTATGAAATCGCACATTGTTAAATTTGGTATTTCATATATTATGTATCTACAATAAAAACTAATGCAAATACTTTAAATAAAACTATTCAAACATTAAATAAATTTTATAATATAAAAGTAAATTATTTATAATAATTGATAATTTGGTTAACCGTCCGAATAAAGAATGTATTTTAGTTCAGTTTTAATTTGGTTGGGTAAAAATTAGGTGAGTACAGATACACTAATGACTGAAACGCTGCACATTAGTGTTAGACATATTGCACAGTAATGTTAGACATATTGCACAATAGGATATAAAACTGGAATGCACATAAAATAAAAGAAAAAATACCACAGTTAATAGAATGCAAAATAATTTTAGACGAAATACAAATGGAAAAATTTCAAAATTGGTCCTATAATTTGGCCACTGTCCAAAAAACCACCCCGATATTGACCACTTTCAATTTAGGTCCTATAATTTGTCGATTTCATCAATTTTGGTCCTTTTTTAGCCGCACCCTGGATTAAAAAGTGACGTGGCATGAAAAAAGGACCAAAATTGATGAAATCGTCAAATTATAGGACCAAAATTGACGTGCCATGTAGATCATAATCACGCCATGTAACATTGAAAAAGTGACACGTCATGCCACGTCACTTTGTAATAATGGGGCGGATAAAAAATGACCAAAATTGATGAAATAGACAAATTATAGGACCTAAATTGAAAGTGGTCAATATCGGGGTGGTTTTTTGGACAGTGGCCAAGTTATAGGACCAATTTTGAAATTTTGCCAAATACAAATTATTGTATGTGAGAATGTACATTATTAGTTTGATATTTTATATATTATGTATTTCAACCAAACAACAATATAAAATATTAAATATAATTATTAAAAATATTAAATAAACTTTTTATAATATAAATAACAAATCGTTTCTATTATTAAGGAACATGCGATTAATTGATCAAATAGATCGATTGTTCCAATTCAATTTTAGTGTGATTTGGAAGAAATCATAATTCGTGCACAATATATTGTGATAAAAATACTATCGGTTTGATTTAAGTCTGCTATAATGCAATAAAGACTAAATTTGTGCACAATAGTGATAGATAAAATGCACGGTAATGTGGAAATTTTTCAGTCCAAGACTTTATATGTCGATTCGATTATATATGTTTTAAAATTTTCGTTATTACGGTTCAATTTACATTTATAAATTATTTATCCATATTTTATGTGTATTGAAATTTAAACAAATTATTATAAAAAAAATAAAACAATATCAATTTATATTACTAAAGATTACATAAATTGCAACTTAGTCCCTATCATTAACCAAATTTTAATAAAAGAACCCCAAAATCAATTTCAATGCAATCTCAATTGCATCTTGAAATCTTCTCTCAAGCCCAAAAAAAAAAAAAAAAAAAAATTCCGGCGTCACCTTCCCTCACCATCCAGATCGCTATCTCCGAATCAATTGTGCACTTGCCGGAGGTTCTCGATTCGCCGCCGGATTGTGTTGGCCGGAACCTGAATATCTGAACTCAGTCGGCGACACGCAGAGGGGAGATGGACGGCGATGTGTCTGGGCGCCGGCGGGTCAGTGTCGCATCTGTTGCGGGGCTGGTCGTGGTTGGTGCCATGTTGGAGCTGATGGTGTTTGTTGTCGGCGGCGGGGCTCATGGTGGTTGGTGGCGAGACCAGTGGTGGTCGGAGCGGATCTGGTTGTGGTTGATGGCGAGGCTTGTGATGGTTGGTGGCGGTGGCGGGAGTAGTGGTGGTTGGCGGCTGATCTGGTAATCGTTAGTGGTGTGGAGGGGAGGGGAATGACCGGACTGCGGATGGTTGACGGCGTTTGACAGGATGTTAGTCGAGGCGGCGACGACGATGGTTACGGCGGAGTGTTGGTGGGAGCAGCGAGCGTCGATGGTTGCTTCTGGTGGTCCGTCGAGGGTCGTTGATGTCAATGGCCGGGGCGGCGGCGAGCGTAGAGGAAACGGACGGCGGCAAGCAGGGATGAAATATGCGGCAGCGGGAGTGGAGGAAACTGGCGGTTGCTGGTGGCGGTGGCGGGTGGCAGTAGGCGGAGTGTCACCGGTGGAAAAAACGTGTGTGTGTGTGTTTGCAGTAGAATGTGTGTGTATGTGCGTCGGATTAGTGTGTGTGTGTGTGTGTGTATGTGTGTGTGAGTAGGTGAGATATAATAAATTAGGGTAATTGGAGTGGGGCCTATTATTAATTGAGATTTATTAAATAATGACTAAAATACCCTTAATAAATGGTCAAATAGATATATTTGACCACACAATGATCAAATAATTACTATATTACCATTAATGATTGACCATAGTTTGACTTCATCATAACCATTAATATGGTTGATCATATGGTCCAAATTTATTCTTATTTCTTTCACTATCTACCATTCTCATTGGATCCTAATTCTCTCTCTCTCTCTCTCTCTCTATATATATATATATATATATATATATATATATATATATATATATATATATATATATATATATATATATATATATATATATATATATATATATATATATATATATATATATATATATATATATATATATATATATATATATATATATATATATATATATATATATATATATATATATATATATATATATATATATATATATATATATATATATATATATATATATATATATATATATATATATATATATATATATATATATATATAGGAGATGGACCCAATGAGTCCACCTCTTAAAATGTGGACGTGAGACTCAATCTTAGCTACTCATTTTGTCTAGATCAAGGATTTATGTTAATCAATTATAATATACATTAATTAAATAATAAAAATAATTATTAGTGGACTCCGGTGTTGACCGTTTGACTTCCGGCGTTGACCGTTGCCTTCCAACGTTGACTCCGACAGTGACCCGTTGACAGCCCTTAAAATGCGGACAGCTCTTAGCAACTACAGACAACTAACCTAGCAACTACAGAGAACTAACCAAACAACTACAGAGAACTAACCTAGCTACTGCTAACCTAGCAACTACAGAGAACTAACCTAGCAACTACTAACTTAGCAACTACAGAGAACTAACATAGCAACTACAGGAACTAACCTATCAACTACAGAGAACTAATCTAACAACTACAGAGAACTAACCTAGCAACTACTAACCTAGCAAATACAGAGAACTAACCTATAAACTACAGACAACTAACCTAGCAACTACAGAGAACTAACCTAGCAACTATAGAGAACTAACCTAGCAGCTACTAACCTAGAAACTACAGAGAAGTAACCTAGTAACTACAGACAACTAACCTAGCAACTATAGAGAACTAACCTAGCAGGTACATAGAACTGAACTAGCAACTACAGAGAACTAACCTAGCAACTAAAGAGAACTAACCTAGCAACTACAGAAAACTAACCTAGCAGCTACCAACCTAGCAACTACAGAGAACTAACCTAACAACTACAGAGAACTAACCTAGCAACTAGAGAAAACTAACCTAGCAACTAGAGAGAACTAACCTAGCAACTACGGAGAACTAACCTAGCAACTACATACATACGAGAGAGCTCCCATGCCCTTTCTTTCTCTAGGAAAATCCTCTCCCTTCTCTCTAGAATTCCTTTACTCAAATTCAACCTGTTTTGCCAAAAAACCTTTTTCGGTCCAGTCTTTCAGATTTTCGGCAAGCCGGCGCCGGCGCCAGCCGGCTCCCGATCATCCCCCTCTCTCGCAAAATCCAAAGAACTACCAAAAAAAATTCTTTTTCAGTTTTTAACCTATTTTTCAACCTTTATTTAAATTTTTCAGTCCTCTAATATCGATTTTTCGGCCACTCATGGGCCCTCCGGCCAGCAGACAAGCTTCAACCCCAATTCAAGCCTCGGAGTTGGAACTTTTCATCTCACAACTGGAAATCCGAGAGGCTCTCTCGGCCTTTCTCGTAGAAACCAAAACAAAAATCATTGAAGGAGAAAGCCAAAACTTGGAAGAAGGGGAAATATTTGAAGGCTTAGAGAAAAATCGGGCTGAGGCCTCTTTGCCGGATTCCAAGGCAAAAACGATGACCACCTTGTTGCAGCCGGATTCCGATCACCAGCCGCAGCCAGAAACCATCATGCTACAACCGGATTCCGGTCACCACCCAAGCCTCAACTCAAAGCAAAAAGGCCGAGAAAAAACGGGAAAAATTTAAAATAGAAGAAGTCCACCGGCTCCCTCTCAGTGACGTTCTTGGTAGGAAAAGAAAGTGACGTTTCACCGACAGTCACGTCACA